AAAAAAAAAAAAAAAAAAAGAGAGTGGCAAGGTGAATGGTGAAGGTCATTGCTGAGCATGGGCACAGTTAGCAGCCCATGGGAATTCTGGGAATCTCAGAATTGTGGTCATTTGAGCTGGAAGGGTGCTCGGGGATAACCAGTCTTTCCTTTCTTCCAATCTGAGTCGGCCAAGGCCAGAGAGGGGACTGATTGGCCTAAGGCCACATAGCTGGAAAGGGGCAGAGACAAGGCTTGAACCCAGGACACTGTCTCCAAGTCTGTTGCTGCCTCACCTTCTCATTAAAGTCCACACAAAAAATAACCAGACTTTGCTCTGATGTCTGTCAGGAGTGGGGAACTTCGGTGGAATGTAATTAAGGAGGCGAGGCAGCCCCAGAAACCTAATTTTGCGGCTCTCCCGATACATGGAGAACGTGCCCCTTCCCTTCGGTATTCCCCATTCTAGCTGTTTTTCCTCTTTGTCTTTGATGAAACAGGTGGTTGTAGATAAGTGAAGTGTTTTTTAAAAAATAGTAAAACCAACCTTGTGAATCAAAGAACACCAGGAACAGGAGACCGGTTATCCTCGCCACTCTCCTGTGGCTTGTTTGAGTGATTCAACATTCACAGAAACTATTTTGCCCAACCAGGTAGAGAAATCAGTGAATTCATCCCGGAAGCCTCAGTCACTTCAGCTAACTGCATGTTTGCGGCTCAGTTTTTCCATTCATCAGCCCCAAAGCATGCACTCACTTCCACATTCCACAAACACTTATCCAGTCATGCTGGGAAGCAGTAGAACAGAGTGGTTAAAGTTTTGGGCTCTGGACCCAGAATGCCTGAGTTCAGATTTGCTTAATGTGTGACCAAGTTTCACCTTTCTGTGCTTTGGTTCCTTCATATGTAAAACGGAGATGGTAACAGTTCCCATCTCTTAGGATTCAAGAAAGTGACTCCTGTGTGGCGCTTCAAACTGGGCCCGCTTGCTCGAAAAATGTAGCTGGTGTTTTTTTGAACCCTGCTGCGAGCTGGGCACCTGGGTCACCACCCCTCGAGGAAGAATGCAGCCCTGCCCTCAGGAGCGCACGCGCAGCCTGGCTTTGCGCTCAGGTCTGCTGAAAACGCGGGGCGCCCGGACTCACCCCGCTCGAGGAACGTGCCGCTGAGATCCAGGACTTCGAGCGTGGCCAGGGGCGCGCCATCCTCTCCAGCGAACGCCGCCTCGGCGATGCCCCCCTGTGCGCCGCGACCCAGCGCGGTGCAGGAGAGGTTGAGGAGCTGCAGCGCGGGGAAGCAGGCGAAGGCCCGGGGCTGTAGCGCCTGCAGCGGATTCCCGGCGAGCGCCAGGAGAACCATGCCCACGGTATCAGAAGCATTCTGATAGGGGTTGGAGAATACTGCTTTGGGCAAAACTCTTAATGACCTCGAACTTCATTTTTTGTCCTCTGTTGTAAAATGGAGATACCAACCTAACAGGCAATATTATACTTCATATCAACTGGGGACAATATTCCCATGACCGATGGTTGTATCAAAAAGAGTGCGTGTTGGCTGGGCACGGTGGCTCACACCTGTAATCCCAGCACTTTGGGAGGCCGAGGCAGATGGATTATTTGAGGTTAGGAGTTCGAGACCAGCCTGGCCAACATGGTGAAACTCTGTCTGTACTACAAATACAAAAATTAGTCGGGCAGTAGTGGTGGACCTATAATCGCAGCTACTCGGGAGGCTGAGGCAGGAGAATCACTTGAGCCTGGGAGGCAGAGGTTGCGGTGAGCCAAGATCACACCACTACCCTCCAGGATAGGCAGGAGAGTGAGACCCTGTCTCAAAAAACAAAACAAAACAAACAAACAAACAGAAACAAAAAAGAGTACATGATGATAAAAGTGTTTGTAAATGCAGATCTCTAAATAGAAGCAGATATTGTTATTATGGACCAGTGTTATTGCACTATGGCTGGTGACACTCAACGCCAGTCCTTTGGAAGATGCCTCATTTAAGTGCATCAGTGAACTCTTGATAAGTAGAGAATAACCCCCAAACTTAGTAACTTAAAACAATAAATATTTATTCTTTGGCATGATTCTGTGGGTTAGCTCAGTGGTTCTTGTGGTCTGGATTAGCTCAGCTGGGGTCACATGAACTGGGATGGCCTCATGGATAAGGCTCAACCAGGTGTGCTGGGACTGCTCTCCATGTGTCTGTCATCACCCAGGAGGCTAACCTGGGCTTATCCACACAGTAGTGGAGGGATCCCCAACAGCAGGAGAGGGCGGGTCTCAGTGCTCAATTGCTTTCCTAGCTTCTTACATCACATTTGCTAATGACCCACTGGCCCAAGCAAATCACAAGGCCAAGCCCAAGCTGGAGTGCAATGGTGCAATCTCAGCTCACTGCAACCTCCAGTTCCCAGGTTCAAGCGATTATCCTGCCTCAGCCTTCCAAGTAGCTGGGACTACAGGCACGTGCCACCACGCCCGGCTAATTTTGTATTTCTTTTAGTAGAGATGGGGTTTCACCATGTTGGCCAGGCTGGTCTCGAACTCCTGACCTCAGGTGATCCACCCGCCTCGGCCTCCCAATGTGCTGGGGTTACAGGCATGAGCCATCATGCCTGGCCTCACCACCACTATTTTATCATACAATCATCACTATCCTCACCATTATAATTAGCACCATCACCCATCATCATCACCATCACCATCACTACCAATGTCATCCCCATCACTGACATCAATCAGCATCAACACCATCACCATCACTGTCATCACCATCAGCATCTCCGTTATCACCACCACCATTATCTTCACTAATTTTAGAGGACAAATATCATAAGCCAGGCACTGAGCTAAGTGGTCTACATAAACCATATGCTTTTTTCTCATGAAAAACCCCAAAGCGAGGTTTTATTGTCATAGCTCTATTTTACAGATAAAGAAACTACTTGATATTCGTATCCTGGCACTTTACACAGTTCTTGGGTTTTTATCGAGCTCAAAGGAGTCTGAGCCAGAGATACAAAGCATTTCCCCTCACAACATTGTGTGCTCAATAGCTATTTATTGAATAAAGGAAAGAATGAGTGAATGGTTCTGCCTTTGCTTTGAAAAGTTGTTCATCCTTTTAGAAGAATAATTCCATCTTTAGTGACTGCATTGAGTAAAACAGGACTCACAGGGCCTGCCCCTAGACTTCCAAGGGATTTTCTAACAATATCAATACTTTCATCCCCAGACCCACTCAAATTCTGGGAGGGACTGAACTTGCATGACATGTGGGGAAGAAAGCAGATCCAGACAGAGAGTAGACCTGAGGTCCTCCTCACCTCTTCCCACTGTACATTTCTAAGTGTGGGCTTAAAATAAACTTTAAAGGCATAGGAGTTTGGCATTCTAATACTACTGTGAACCGGACTGAGTTGCAAGGTTAGATGGGCGGGTGGACTATCTGGGACCTTACCCAAGATATCACCCAAAGGGTGGGGGAAAACAAAGCCCCAGAGAGGATTCGGAAGAGCAGTGAAAGAAAAATTATGGTCTGGTTTGTTCTATAAAATTCAACATAGCGTAATGGGTAAAAATCAGTCATGCGATTAAGATGTGCCTCAGAAGCACTTACTTCTGGAACAGAAGGACCTGTAGATGTGGAGTGTCTTGAAAGAT